TTTGTTGTTTTTATTGTTGTTAATATAATAAGTTCCATGTATTTTATAATGTGTGTGAGTACTTGCTTGCAAAAAGCCAGTTTACTAGCAAAGGAACCAGTATTTTTCTTGACGGTTAAGCATATTGTGACTAATAAGGAATCTGACATTTAAATGTTTACTAACTAATGAACCAAGGCCATACAGGTTTTGAATGATAAATCTTGCACTTACTCTTAGGTTTATAACATGCCTTTGGAAAGAAACCAGGATTAAAATGATACCCAAAACATACGGTTTAAGTTACCTCTTTGTAACACTGGACAATTGTGTCTCATGTATTAGAACAACAGTAATTTAGGAAAGTAATTTATCAGCTGTCACCCAAATGGAAATAATATTTGTCATGGGATGGAACAAAGTGTTTTAAAGCAAATTGCTAAAATTGGATGAAGAAAAACATGGCTAAACAACAGCTTTACAAATAGAACTTTTGGTTTTACTGAAGCAGATATTCCAGTTACCTCTTCCAAAGAAGATGCATCATTTTGACTGAAGACTGCTAGCAAGAAAAAAAGCTGCAGTTTGCATGTGTGTGTGATTCTGTGTATACCAGCAGCACTTTAGCTTTTAGAACATGCAGCTATCTTTCAAAGTGCTCAGATTATAAAGATAATAGGTTTTGTTACTAGAAATTAGGTGCTTTTGCAAGCAGATTCATCAGACCTAGTAAAGTACCACAGTTTATTTTTCCCAAGTCACTTCGCTGCATTGGACTTACTTTTCCATTCAGTCTTGCATGAAATACATTTAAGAATTTTGAAATTTAGTTAAAATTCTTAAATATGTGTACAATTTTTGTCCCTAAAGCTTAGCTTACCTTTTCACGTTTTGTAGAGGAACTACACATACTAATAAGTCTGTAATATGAAACACTTTCAGACTGACACTTTTAGCTGTCAAAACATCTGTCAATACAAATGATGTTGATCATTGTGAATTTCTAGAGTGTGAAATCTTGATGTAATATTAAATCTGTTGTAATTGCTTGGTAGGAACTGTATACACAGGCATGAATTTTGAAGGGTAAAATGGACCTACAGATAATGAATGTATTTGGAGTGGTGTCGAAGACATTTTTTTAGCAGCATATCTAGTCTGATTTTTGTCTTTGCTATTTTTGCTTACTTTACTTTGTTCAAGATCCTGAAAGGTCCTGATTGCTTTTAGGATAACGTGTACAGATCTCTTTCATACGATCTCTGGACCTTCTAGTGTCAAATCTTGAAAATGATAATGCTGTTCCTTGCCTACTCATTTCATAGAATCATAGAATCATTAAGGTTGGAGAAGACCTCTAAGAACATCAAGTCCAACCGTTGACCCAACACCACCATGCCCACTAAACCATGTCCCTAAGTGCCTCATCTACACGGCTTTTAAATACTTCCAGGGATGGGGACTCAACCACTTCCCTGGGCAGCCTGTTCCAATGTTTAACCAC